AGTGAGTGAGTGAGTGAGTGAGTGAGTGAGTGAGTGAGTGAGTGAGTGAGTGAGTTATTTCGTTATAGTTCGTTAGTTCGTTAGTTCTCCAATTCGTTAGTTCGTCAATCAGTTTATTTGGTAGTTAGTTAGTGTGCTTTTTTACGTAATGTGTTTTCTAAAAGTAAGTAAGTGTGTATTCAGTGTTTAAGACCAGTGGCCCACATCACATCAAACACAGATTTCATAGAAGAGACTTTCATGACAACAATATAAATCATAAATGACATACACATCAACAACATTTTAAATTTGTGTTGTGCTATTGAATTTAGTTTCCATAACAAACAGTACTGGTTGTAGACGTACATCTTCTTCTGGGCCAGTCAATACATTATTGAGCCGAGTCAGTGCAATCGCTACCTCAGAGTTACAAAGTTCTATCTGCTCAGTAAATACCAAGTTTTGGAGAAATATGACATCAACATTTTTTAGTTTCACAATGCGTCAAGCTTTTTTCGAATGCAGTTCTTTGAACATCTTGATAACGACTCCGATTAATCTTACGATTTTGATTGAGCAGAAGGAACATTTATTATTGCTTTCAGACATCATAGTCTTAATAACTCAAAACGGTAAAAAATATATCAGACTGAACTTTGTAAATTCTGGTGTAGCGTAAAAAAATAAATGGTATAGGTTTAACACTATTAGGTTATTTAACGGGCGGGACCTCCTAGTTTAACGTCCGTCTCCGATAGAACCGAGCCAGTGGGAAATTCGTGTAAAGTGCCTTTCCCAAGGACACAACGTCTGACCGAACTGAGGCTCGGACCGGTGTAGCGTAAAATTATCAGGTTGTACTATGACGCAAAAACACATTGTACGTATATTATTATGACGCGGAATTTAGGACGCAATATGACGTAATACCAATAATGTACAGCCCAGAAAAATGTCCCTCTGGGATAATAAAGTATTATCTTATCTTATCTTATCTTATCTTATCTTATCTTATCTCATCTTATTTTATCTTATCTCAATGACGTAGATGCTCACCTTACTGGGCTTGGAGGAGAAGATAAAGGTGAGGATGACGAGACAGAGGAGGCCGATAAAGGACTGCAGGCTCTCGGGGCTGTCCTGGAACACGTCAATTGACAGATACGCCAGGAGTCCGGCGGCCGCCCCCACGTACAGCACACTGGGGAACACACAGACACAGACAGTCAGCAGTCAATACAAACAATGTTCTACTTTATTTCTTAATTAAAAAATGATATAGATGTTTTTCCGAC